ATTACTCATCAATAAGTCATAAATTAAAGTTCTATTTTTATAAATACAAATTCCCAAGCAGTAAGACATTTTTCTGAGCGGTCTCTGTCAATAAACCAAAACATTTGAACTGTAACTGAATCTACTAAGAAGCTGTGAAACAGCTGTTATATGTTATGTATATTTTTTTTCTATTTTTGTCAGCCTGCCACATTTATAGTTTTCACTGCTGTGTACTTGCATTACGTGTTTTAATATAAAGTTCCTTGGAAATCTGTCTTTCAGCTTTAGGTCGTTTTGAAATGCAGCTGTCTTTGAGAGTCCTGTTCTATATTTTTCTTTTCCAGCATGATGATGACACTTGCACAGACAAAGGAACTCTTCCGGAGAGCAGAAGCTGTCTGTTTTGACGTGGACAGCACAGTCATCAAAGAGGAAGGCATTGATGAACTTGCCAAATTTTGTGGTGTGGGGGATGCAGTCACTGAAATGTATGTGTATTGTGTTTATTATGTCCTGTCAACGCCACATGAAAAAGCTGCTACTTTTTGATATTTTTCTACATTATTGAAAAGCATGTTTTCATATTGATTCTTGATATCATTGGATTTGTTCCATCTATGAAGGCCTCCTGTTTTACTTTCCCATTTCAGGACTCGTAAAGCTATGGGCGGCTCAGTGACTTTTAAAACGGCCCTGACAGAGCGTCTGTCCATCGTCCGATGTTCAAGAGAACAAGTAAACAAACTGATAACAGATCACCCACCTCAGCTGACTCCAGGTATCAGGTGAGTGTGTGAAGACTCCGCTTTATTTGAGTCCTATCATTGATTCCCTGGAACAAAAGAATCTAGTAGGAAAAGCCAAGGTAGTGTGTTAAAACCACAGTGATATTGTGTGTGTCTATGCAAGAAAAAGAGCAGTTGCTTTAGTCTTGTATCACTGACAGTGACTTGTAAATGTGTGTGTGCATGATTTATGCACAAACCTGATGAGCTATGGCTGACAGATGAGGTCTAAATGAGATCTTACGTCTGCCTGCTACACAAAAAAGTTAGCAAAACTGTATCTCTTCTAATGTGTTTGTTCCTAAATGTCCATTTGTCTTCATCTAGGGAGCTTGTGGACCGTCTGCACCAGCGCAGTGTTAAGGTGTTCCTCATTTCAGGTGGCTTTCGCTGTATTGTTGAACATGTAGCCACTCAGCTAAACATCCCTCTGCATCACGTCTATGCCAACCGGCTCAAGTTCTACTTCAACGGTGAGAAACCAAGGCAGACTTTTTTTTTAAAAATACAGACAATGTCAATGCTCCACTCTTGTGAGAACAGAGAAAATTTACAATGTGTATGAGATAAAATGGGTATTGGCCCTGTGAGGGGGGTTGACAAGGCTTGAATCCTCTGCCTGGTGATACCAGAAATGTTTTTGTTCAGTCCCTCAGATCTTTTATTTGAAGCTTCTTCCCCTAATCTCGAGCATCTGTTTTCACAACTATCCTGTCAGCTTGTTCTTAGGCATCATCCCTCATTTCTAAATCAGATTATATTTGCGTGTTTTCCAGGAGAGTATGCTGGTTTTGATGAGAGTCAGCCCACAGCTGAGAGCGGTGGAAAGGGAAAGGTAATCAGCCTGTTGAAAGAACAATATGGCTTCAAGACTGTGGTGATGATTGGTGATGGAGCCACTGACCTAGAGGCCTGTCCCCCTGCTGTAAGTGTTCACATTGCGTTTTATGTTCTCCACAGTTTCATGTGTGCATGTTCAGTTAGTGGTTAACATGTATTCTTGACAAAGTGCACTGGCGCTGCAGCGTGATTACAGTATTTTCTTTTTTGCCATCAGAGTGCTTTCATTGGATTTGGTGGGAACGTTGTCAGACCGCAGGTTAAGGAGAGGTGTTCGTGGTACGTGATGAGTTTTGGGGAGTTGCTAAAAGAACTGGAGAAGATTTAAGGTTGCTAAAAGAGCACTGTTATTAATTGTAACACCTTCTATTTGCACCTGAGGATGTGTCTCTGGTTTTATCATGTACACTTTCCTTAGACTATTCATAGATTTTTATAATAAATAAAAAAGGTTTACACTATTGAGACAGATTTTATCTCCATTAGGATGCTGCCCTGCTGCTTTTTATACTAAAAGGAATACCAACAGTATGTGGAAGTAAAGAAAGATCTTGGTTTTTGCATCAAACCTTTAGCTAAGTTAATACAACTCCTAAATATTATGGCATGTGCAATGAGCAATAGAAGTGTTTTAATTGTGTGTAGGTGCTATGAGCTGTAACCAGACATGTCACTGAATGTGGTGACATATGTCCTGTGAAAGCACACCAGCATTAAACATATAAGAACACACTGTCAAAGATGTTGTTTGAACTTCTTTAATCTGTTGGTGCTCTGCCCTCCACTGTACAATGTTCCCTATGAAGTCATGAACAAAAAGACAAGATAAACATGTTTCCTTTAATAATAAAATCTGTTATTACAGTGTGTAGCAGCATGACTTCCCACTTCGCTCAGCCACTGCTGGTTATGCCTTATTAAATTGTGCTAGATAAAAGCAAATTTTAAAAATCAGGCACACCATCTTCACAGAGGAAAAAGGAGGGGCCACTGTTACAAGCACAGCACCATGAAACATCTACATGACAGGAAATATTCTATCTGCAAAAAAGGTTTTATTAATACACATCAAATAAAGTTCAAATCATACGTTTGGTATATTTGTTTCTCATGATTTGCAGGAGAAAGTGTTCATGAATAGACGGAGGCTTTCTCTCAGCTATGGCATGGATTACGTCAAAGTGGTATTTTGTCTGCACACTTGAAACATCTATGTATTCCAAAAGTATATTAAATAAATATGTACTCACTGCCACAGCAGCGCTACATCTGTTCTCACACACCATACAGCTGCTCGTTTTTTTTTTTTTCTTCCCCAAGTAACTTTGGTTGGTTCTTAACTTAGACAATGTTTCATACAACGGTTTTAATGTGGCACAAGATGCTGGACGTAACAACCATGAGGAGGCATGAACTGGCCAAATTACTCCTGCTCCAGAACCAGGAGGAAAAAGAAAAGAAAAAAAAAAAAAAGGTCATGCGTCAAAGACTGAGTGACTTGGACCATTTTGAATAGCGGTGCATGGTAGGCATTGTTGCCTCCACTGCCCTGACATCTTGAAATAATAAAGCAAAGAAGACAAGAAATAGGATGGGATGTTGTTTGGCAGCACTAACAGGAGGTCAGACTCGGGAGCGTCGCTCTTGATGAATGTAACATTTGAAAGGGTGCCACTTGATTTCAGCTTCTCATTTCACTGCAGCGGTGAAGCCTTTGTCGGAATCATAATCCTGGACTCCATGTACTGAATGAGAGGCACTGGAGAGAGGTGAAACAAAAGAAGTTTAGAGCTGATTTATTGTGCCATCACAGTTTAAAGTCCTTTTGCTACTGACCAGGTTCCACAGGGTCTAAACCTACTAAAGAGACCAACATATGACTGCTCAAGACAGTTTTTGCTCACCTGTGTAATACACCACCTCGTGCCAGCCCTCCTGCTGCCAGACAGCATTTCTCGTGTCTTCCCGGGACTGAAGGTCTTTGTAAGCTGAAATCAACAAACGCATTTTAATACTGCTTGTAGTAGTCTGTGTATTATAAAACAGACTATATCATACAAAACCCGTTTGTATGATGTTGTGCACACTGGGCTTATCATGCTTTTCTCACTGCAAAGGTCATGAGTGTTCAAAATAAACTGAAGCAATACAGTTGCAGTCCATAAAACCAAAACAGGTCATTTACATAGTCATTTGATCCATTGTTTGACTAAAAATGACTTGAGAGCAGCTTTAATTTTAAATAATGTCAGGAATAGAATGAGAACTGCCTATAAAAATTTCCAGAGCCCGAGATGACAGTTTCCCATTGCATGTTTTGTCCAAACAATAGTCCAAAGCCCAAATATATTCTATTTACAGTATTGTAGAACAGAGAAATGCAGCAAATGTTTAGAAGACTCACCAAAACTGCTAAGGACTGACTTTCTGCAGAGCAGCTGATGATTTAAGCACTATCATGATTGTCTACATGGTGACAGTGTCAGTATGTAACTGGGCAAAAAGCTGGTGTCGGACCATACCCCAGAGGTGATGAACCATGTAGAGGTTGCCGATCTGTGAGAAAAACCCTCCCACAGCTTCTCTGTTCTGCTGGCGGTATCCAATGGCCCTGGCCCTGCAGGCAAGAACAACTTCAGTCACAACACAGGCCAAAAACACCAAGACCTCATCTAAAACCAGGCCAGCGCACACGAGATACTTGACCAGCCTTCAAACAAGAATTTCAACATTGTCTCTGCATTTACTCAGGATTGTTTTTAGTGTGCACAATTGGATTTAGTCGGTTCTGTTCACATAAGCTGGATGACAGGCGTCTTCCATAGCTGCGATTATCTATTGCAACGTCCAACCGTAAGATGTGACGCCATACCTTAATGCCCTGTTTATGAATCTTAACACTGGCCAAGTCTATGTGAAATGAGTGGACCGGAGCATCTGAAATGCTTTAAATGCATTACGTTTGCTCCAAAAGCAAACAATGTCTGGATACACAACTATGAAGCCTCAGCTTTACATGTTGCTGTATTAAACCTTCAACTCCACAGTTTATATTGACATTGCTTTCAAAGTGCTTTACTTGCAATGCTTACTGGTTAAAGTAAGCATGAGTGCAGCCATAATAAAAGAACTGGCTAAAGGAAGAACTGTCTAAGCAAGTCGAAACGTTTTCATCAAAAGGCATTACGTGTTTTTTTTGTTCTGTGATTATTTTACATCACGTATGCTTTTGAGAACAAAGGGAGGCACTGCAGAGAAGACGTTGGCTATTATTCAAGGACTTTAAATTATATTTACATATAAAATTGTGCTGGGAAAAGATACAGAAGACTTGACAATATAATGACTCCCAGGACACATTTACAAACAGTACAGTAACTTTGGAGCCAAAAATATATGCGATTAAGTGGATTAGCATCAAGAGAAAATACTAAAACTGGTCAGACAACTACAAAGACGCACGCACACAAATTCCCTGGCGCCATCAAAGAAAGATCCTCCCAGGCTGATTAGAAATTATGCACGTGTGTATAACCTACTTAATATTCCACTTAAATTTGAATCTTGGCTTGAGAGTACGACAGTACAGGTTCAAAATAGGCTCTCTCTCTATGGAATAGCTCTTATTAATGACTGTGATGAGGTTTCATGTAGTGCAACTGTTCTGTAACTACAGCCCAGTGAATCAAAAGAATTCAGGCTGCCTTACCAGTAATTACCCCACTCGATCATGGTTCCTGGCTGCAGGAAAGAAAACACAATATTCTTTATTGCAATACAAACAGATCATTCAGAGCTTTCCAAACCTGAGATTGATATCACACTTTTATCTCCTTCCCAGAATAAACATATTAAGAAAAATATATGGTAAAGACGCATGTATTTTGTCACTGTGAAGATAAACTGCAAAAATAATTACACCCAAAGGTATCTTCAATCATTCTCTGGTGCTTAAGACAACAAACACACAGCTGTTTCTAAGATGTAATCTAATAGCTTGCATTCATCACATGTCACAGTGAGCACTGACAATTTTGCCATTTTAGATTAGAAAGTATGACTTAATCTGCAGCTAAGGGAGTGTGCATTGAGCACATTGAGCTTTCAAGTTAAACATGGATGTGGGCTAAAATCATGTGGCACTGTGGCCCAGTGGTGAACTGTTTAAGCACTACTATCATCCTATCAAACCCCAAATCACAGGATCATCACATAGTATAACTGTGATGATGGAGGTCACAGAAATACGGCATGCAACCGGGAGATCATCAGTTTAAATGGAAAAATGCGAGCTGGAAAACTGAAGGAGTCAGTCTCCTTTGCTACAGCAACTACTGTGCATATGACCTTTAGCCTTGAAGCTCTAGTGGCTGCAGTGGAGCCCTTCAGATGTTAACAGAATAAGATTTTATTTGTACTGGGTAGCCTAGTGGTTGACATATAAAACCGTATGAAGTTGTGATAATGAAAAACAGAGTCTACACATCATACCAATTAGCAGCTCTGCCATTTACTGTGGATTCCACTGCAAAAGTTGGTTCTGCACTAAGTATGACTCTGCAGAGACGAGGAAAACCTGCTAATGCCGTTTACTGTTCCATGAGTTCCTTAAGCTCGGTCAGGTGCTCAGCACAAGGGCCATGCAAGTATTTTTAGTACACACAGAACACCTGTTAGTTGCTGCCCTGCATCTCAGCAGATGTGATACAGCCTTCATCCAGCAAAGGGCAGCAAAGGTTGTTCTTCTGAGACTTCAGAGTAGGGTGACTGTACGGTATTTACATTATCAGCAACGTGTGAAATAACACGTCCTTGTGTAGCGCAAAAAATTTTAGACGACACTTTTCTATGCATGTGTCAAAACATCCTTGCGACAGGTATGAAAGAGCCCTCACTGAGCTTTTTTGGCAGAAAAAGGTCCAGTATAACTAAAGAGAAGTTGACTTGATACAAGCTGTCAGACACCCAAATGAAGATTTTAAGTTTAATAATAACTTTGAAAAAAGTGTTGACTCTATTTGGCTGGGACATTTTTAAACTAGGGATGCACTAATCAATACACTGGGTGAGATCAATCCTGGTTCTGGTACTCACTCTGAGCTGATAAGACCTGAGCTCATAGATGTTGGGACCATCTCGGGGCACGGGCTCGTTCCAGAAGCTGAACTCCAAAAGAAGCTGATTCCTGCGAGATAACAGCATCTTACCCCGCTCCTTTCTGTACGCTGTGAACTCCTGCCAATGGACAGACAATTAAAAAGCTTTACTTCAACTAATAGCTAAACTCTTGTATTAGCACACTGCTAAAGCTTTATACAGGGCTGGTACTAAAAAGCTGCGTTGTGAGGGGAGCCTTTACCTTGTTCTGCCTCAGCTTGTTCATCACCTCTGTCAGGGCTGGGTATCCACCTCTGTAACGCCACAGATGAACTGTGAAAGAAATGTATAAAAGATGAAAATAAAAAAATAATCACAGAAACTACAGAAAGATCAACCGATTCAAAGCAGGGTCATTAAATAATAGGGATATTCAGAAATAAACAATTGTTCCATTAGTCAAAAAGGTCAATGTTTTAGAATAATAATAAATACATTTTTTTACAGGCATTTATGTGCCATTTCTCTCCAAAGTCCTTGAAAAGATAGTTTATGCTCAGTTACTGGCTTTCTTAGATGAGCACAATATTCTTGAGACTTTTCAATCAGGGTTTAAAACCCAGCATAGTACTGAGTCAGCCTTGGTGAAAGTCTTAAATGACATTTTTCTTGCAACTGACTCAGGGAATTGTGTGGTCCTAGTGCTCTTAGATTTGACCGCTGCTTTTGACACAGTGGACCACAATATCCTTATTTCTCGTTTGGAGCACTGGGTGGGTATCCGGGGGATAGCTTTGGAATGGTTTCGATCTTATCTTAAGGATAGATCCTTCTGTGTGAAACTAGGAGATGCTGTATCTTCCTCTGAGCCCCTTGTGTATGGGGTACCACAAGGCTCGGTCCTTGGACCCCTTCTTTTTTCCCTTTACCTTCTCCCACTTGGTACTATACTCAGGAATCACAGTGTTTCCTTTCATTTTTATGCGGATGATTGCCAGCTTTACCTACCGGTTAATAAGATGAGCTCTTCCGTTAGCACACTTCTTGAATGTCTGGATGACATTAAATCTTGGCTTGCTTTTAACTTTTTAAAGCTGAATGAGGATAAGACTGAGGTGATAGTATTTGGTGATTCTGTTGGTTCACCATCTGTTGACTTGGGCTCATTGGCTCATTATAATCAAAAGAATATTTTAAATTTAGGTATTAAGATGGATCCAGATTTAAGATTCGACAGCCAAATTGCAGCTGTCATTAAATCTAGTTTCTTTCACCTCAGACAGTTGGCTAAAGTAAAAGCATTTGTCTCTAGACAGCATTTTGAGACGCTTATTCATGCTTTCATTACTTCCCGTTTGGACTATTGTAACTCATTGTATCTTGGGGTCGGTGAGTCTTCTATCAATCGCCTCCAGATGGTCCAAAATGCAGCAGCGCGTCTTTTAACAGGAAGAACAAAGCGTAAGCTTAGAGGCGATCGAGCCTTCGCAGTTGCTGGTCCTAAACTCTGGAATGATTTACCGCTGTCCATTAGACAAGCCTCTACCCTGTCTGTTTTTAAGTCTCTTTTAAAAACTCATTTATTTTCCCTGGCATTTTGATATTTTTGTGTTGATTTTATTCATTTTTTTTATATTCATTATATTTTATATTGTTGTTTGTGGTTTATAATTGATACTGTTTTATTGTAATGTACAGCACTTTGGTCCACTCTGGTTGTTTTTAGTGCTTTATAAATAAAGTTGGTATGGTATGGTTGTAGAGCATTAGAACTAAGGTTTATGACACAGTTTCTGTCCATGCGCTACACATACGGTTTCTGTGGCGAGCAGACGGGAGATACAGTACGTTGGATGATTCAACAAAAAAAACAAACTGGCTTTTGTAGCACATCAGAATCAATAGGTCGGTCAAGAAAACAAATCTGGCCTATTGCCCCCTCTTGCATTAACATAAATAAATTACAGTGGAGTCTTGACTTGATATTGTGATCAATTTTTCAGTTTCAGGATGCATATTGTCACATTTTTGAATCACGATATATAGTTTGTTGACGGATTTTTACACTCCTAATCATTTATATCACTGCCACAAAAATGCTGAGCTTCAGCAGCAAAAAGAGTGACAACAAAAAAATACCTGGATTTGTTACACCTAAACTCTAATAAAACGGCAAAAAATATTAATAAATAACTGCTTTGGTGACAGCAATGATGTCATGACTAATCGAATAATTCACTTAAATTGGCTTGATTATTCGACCTCAACAAATGCCTGTCCCTGTAAAATAAAATAATTTAAACATTAGTCAAGCAGTCAACAATTCATAATCAAAGATTCAGATGTACTGTTCATTAGTCTGTACTGATTATTATGAACGGGACAATATATCGAAATTCAATATATCACGACACAAAAATGTGTGGTCTCCATACACCAGGAACTATATATTTTTTTGTAAATAAGACAGCCTAACTGAATGTAAGTCAATATATCTGGTTGTTCTTTACATAATCAACCCAGGGGGGAAAAAAGAGGAATAAAGTACAAGTATTGTATTGTGATTGAATCAAATCGTACACGCCATATCGTGCATCAAAGTTTATTGAGAAAAAGTCGCATCATCCCATCCCTACCGGTTATATTAGGCAAATTGGTAATGACAGTTAATTGTTGTTCATTCATATCTGACTTAATGGATAAGTCTGTTTGTTTAAGTACTACCAACAAACCAGTATTTCAGTTTTGCAATGTGCTACTGGACAGTCTTTCCAGGTAAAAAAAAAAAAAAAAAAAAAGAAAATGGCTGTGCCTGTGTGTGTGTGTGTGTATATATATATACTGTATATATATATAAAACTTTGACTGGATTTATACCACCAATTCTTTTCCCAATAATTGTGTTGTCTGATGGTATAACTTGCATGAGTATGAATAGGTAGTACAATATCCCTCTTGATTTACAAATGGTGCAAACCCAGATCTGTTATACTACAGATGCTTGTGTGTTGATATTAGTAATCCTACCAGCCTGGTCTTGTTCTCCATACCAGGTATTCCAGGTTCCCACCAGCTCGCAGGGGTAGTACTTATCAGCGTGGATTGAGGGCAAAACATCTTCACTGTGATAAATGAGAAACACCACAATGAACAAAATACTGGTTTAAATCTGCATTCAAGTCTCCTAAAGGAAAACTTAACTTTTAATAAGAAAAAAATCCAAAATACATTCATGTGTCCCTGTTACGCATCTCCCATCTACTTTTGCAAGCCACAAATTAGTTCCCAACCACAAACAGATGGTGTGCAGCCATCTTAGGTATGAACAAGGCTGGTCTGTGAAGGTCTGGGACCATGTAGCCTGTCAGTCACCTCACAGATGTAATCTGTTCAGGATTATTTTTACTCAGTACCGCACAACACTATACTACACTATTGGCTCTTCCAGTCTCATATTATTGCTGCTATCACTACTTTTACACAAGTGAAATTTAAAATAGTACTTTAGCTTAGACAATAATAGAAAATAACACTCACCAGAGTTTGTTGTATGCATCCAGAAACTCTGGCTTGACATTATGGACTGTAAAGAAATGTTTGAGCTTGAAAACCTCAATATTTCCAAATGGATAGGTTATCTTTAAATGCTCATATTGTAAATGCTACTTACACTGAATTTTATAGAGGTTACTTTCCTCATTCTTGGTCAGTAGGTTGGAGTGCGCATCTTTCCTGGGGTCGACTTTCCTCACAAACAGTGATTTAAACCAGCTGTCCTCTCGGTTTCTGTTGCTTGATGTTTCAAACCCCCTGCAAACACAGATAATCCACGATGAGCAACAACTGCATGAATGATAAAGAGTGAATGAGAAGTTCTGGCTGCCTAATCTCTTGATACCTAATTAGATTATCAATACCACTGCATAAACTTTATTGATAACAAAGAGGGTAATACAGATGTGAAAGCCATTATAAAACAGGATTTTTACTACAGAGACTGAGCCTAAAATGCCAGTACTTTTGATGCACATAGCAGTGATACTGATGGTATATAAAATACAGCAGGGATACAGTACATTTTGCCATAAAGACAGACCATCAAATTGACCTTGAGTTTTTGAGATACCCACTAACAGAAGATGGTAGAAACCTGTATTCTCTCACTTTTATCGGCAAACACACACAGCTTTAATGTTAAATATCATAGAACAAATCACTCTTATGCGCAGCTTCTGTATAAGTTAAGTAAGTTAAAGCTAGTGACTAACAACCAGGCTAGCAGTTAACGGGCTAGCTCATCCAAGCTCGTCTTCGCCACAACACAAACATATTGATTAAAAACACACTACAGGCTACATCAAACTCAACACAAATAAACGCCGAGCACACACACTGCCGACTGCCCCACCTGCTCCAGAGGACGAGCTGTCCGACCGAGAGGGCCCTGCTTTTAGCCCGAGCCAAGCCTCCACCGGCTCGCTGAAGGACTCCAGCCGCCATCTTTAACTGTGTTGCTGAGCACAGAGCACAAGCTGTTAGCGCGTCTGACCACCGGGTGGCGCAGCAGCACCATGGCGCTCAGATGTCTGACAGCTGCTTAACTGTTAGTACTTAAAGTTAAACCAAAGGCCATCATCTATGCACAGGTGCCTATCTGTGCATGACACTGTAGGTCCATCATATCTAGCTGAATTATCTACAGTTGGCATCACTAGATAAAAATCATGTTCTCTGGTAGATAAAAATAAAAACCAGTGTACAAGGACCATACTTCAAGATCTTTTCTATCAAAGCAGACTAACAGTATACAGTAATGATAAAAGTAAGAACAAAATTTATATGTTCAGTTATAACTTATAACTTTAAACTTGGTGAGCACGGTGGTTAAATACTGTATGTGCCAATTATACTACACTTGTTGAACTGGTGGGGGCAGCACAATTTAATACATGGGCCATGGACAACAGTTATAGTGCACTACTAAGACCGCTGTCCAGTTAAATAAACAATGTTCAGACTGGCTAACTACCTGTCTAATCCAGCCTTGGGCAGTGCATGAAACATACTATCCCATGCTCAAGTCTGGGATCATAGGCTACATAGCTGTGTTAAGTAGGTGTTGCCTAGAGCACAACATATTGCAGATTAACACTATAAAGACTGAACGATGTTTCAGTCACCAACATTTCACATTATGAAATACTATATCTCATCAGTGGTGTAAAGTAGCAAAGTTCATTCACTTAAGTAAAGTGCTGAGGTACTTGTGCTTCACTTCAGTATTTATATTTTAGTTATATTATATACATTATATTTATACCCCACTACCACTCAGAGAGAAATACTGTACCTTTCACTGGATTACATCTGTAGGTGCTTTTCAGATTATGATTTCACATAAAAAAATAAAAGGATGAGTTTATAAAATCCAAAACATTGTTAAAAATCAAAGCAGAGGTTACCAATATTTTTAGCCCACGGCTCCTTGTAATAAATCAGTGTGTAGTTGTGTCTCTTTGACATGAGTTGTAAGCTGTTTCACCAGACAACCCCTTTAAACTCTTCACACTTTCATTTCAATAACTTCACATTCAAATATTTCATTTAAAAATAAAAGATTAGAGAAAAGTTCAAAAACCGATAACAGATTTGTGTATGGGGACTTTATTTTTCTCCTCTACTATTAACCTTCTCTTGAGCCCTCAGATATATCTTGTCACTCTTCTGAGCAGCTTGACCCCTAAATCGGGAACCTGGACTAAACTACCTGACTACATATGAAGTAGTTAAAATTAGCTCCACCTTGAGCAGCTACAACAGCAAAATAATGAGTAAACTGTCAGTAACAGGAACCATTTTTCTGTGCAATTAGTAAATCTACTTTTGAAATATTTACCTGACAACACCTGTGCACTTTTACTAAATAGGGTTTTGATTTTAACTTGTTGTATTGATACTTTTACTTCATTAAAGTATTTGTATGCTTTTTCCACCACTGACACTTCCCCAAGACATTAGTCCTGTAGCTACAAACCTGCCTCTTGGAACATTACAGTCTATCATAATGTTCTTAGTAGCTGGCATGTGAAATTTGCAATCCTAACCAGAGAGAGACAGAGACAGAGAGAGAGATGCTGGTTCTTTTGAGGAAAAGCAAGCTACAACTGCACAATGTAGTTGCACATGGAGAGCGTGATGAGGTGGCAACAATGATGGAATTCAGAACAGTTGATATTAATTTATCATTTGACAGAGTGACTATGAAGTTATAACGGGACCATATTTCTAAAGTCTGCTTGGCTTTAAGTGAAAGGCTACTGGTGGAATTCAGAAACTATGAAGGGATTTGTTTTAAGTTCAAAGACATGAATAATAGGGGAGTGTTTTCTCTGTGAAACATTTTTGAATAACAAACAGCAAAATGTGCATACTGTATGTCTGGGAATTCAATGGAAATTTTTATCAAGGTGGTTGATATTAAATAGAAAACACCAATTTAATTTTCATTTCAGTCCTTAGTTTCAGTAGTTTAATCAACATCAAATGTTTTGATGGTTGTTTCTTACTTAAATTGATTGTGGGTTTAATTAAAAGGACACTTCACTAACAGCCATGAACATTTATGTAAATGTTATGTCCCTCTGTGACCCTTTGGAAATCTGCACAGTACTGGGCTACATAAATAAAATTTAACTTGACTGGAATGTCAGTATTAATATGGATAGCCTAATTGGTGTTTTTAATGGACTTAGTTTGATGTAGTATGGTTTCACAAAAGGGGAATTTTATAAATAGAAGAAATGAGATCAGAGCTCCAGTTTCACTCTTTCACTTATGTCATTGTTGGACAGTAAAATACTATATATTTTGTTAGGTCTTATTGTGACACTGAATTAACCCTTTGATCCACTTTGTACTTTTTAAACCCATAATGCAGGGAAGTTCACAGTTCTAACCCATAGAAATTGTTCAGTTTATTGTTTGACAGAGTAGAGCCTGTATTTTTAAGTGAGCATATACTGAAGGTAGTACACAGTCTCATATCCTTAACGTCCCCATGGCTGCTCATTTTGCTTGTTTCCAGCCATTTAGTGTTTAATCATGGGTACCTCTAGATTAGCTTGGCACCCCTCATAAGTACCAGTAGTTTCAGAATCAGAGAGCCCAAAAGCCCCTTCCTTAAAACGAGAGGACAATTCGTGAACGCACACAATCCCTGCTGTCCTGTGTCGCAAGAGGACAGCACAACGGCAGCAGGAGTATTTATTTTAAACCACCATAAATACACCTTAAAACTTATTAAGTCAATCTGTCAGGAGAATTACATTAGCTGTTCTCAGTGAAAGCAGTTCTGAAATGGTTTCACAAACATTCCCAACTCCACCTACCTTTTTGCTGACCTTGTCTCCATCAGCAAATGGAGCTGTTATGACTTAATTTTCTGTACTTTTAGGACTTCTTGTCCATGTTAATTTAAAAGTGAAGCATGTAAGATAATTTTCAAACTTGGAAATAGCTGTTTGCCAAAACAAAATCCAACTCTAGGTGCACTTACTAGCCTTTTATGGAGCTTCCAACGGTATCACACAAAAATGTTTCCATCTCCAAAACAACTGAGCACCAATCAGACTGTGTGATAAGGTTGAAAGCTCTGAAAAAAAGCCTCTATTTCCAAAGTCAAGAATGAACATTCAAATTTGGAATAGTGTATCTTGGCTCTTTTTTGGGTCCTACTGACCTTTACACAAGAATGAAGATAAATATCATTTTGCCATCAAGCCCTTGGAAAGTGGAAGTTAGGATAACAAATTTATTAGAATATTCAAATTCAGTTAAATGTTTCATTGTCTGGAGCTTTTGTATGTAGTTTTATTTCACTATGTGCAGTTATGTGTCTCTTGACTGCTTGGCTTATGCCTTTTACACATCAGTTTCTGAACTTTACTATTGAACAAGTTTTGTATAAACAGTATATGGATGATGATGATGATTATTATTTTATTTATTAATTTTATTTTTCCATTTCTGTAGCATAGTCACGTTGGTCCTGTTGTGGTGCTTCCTTGCAGCTCTATAAACGCATTATACTCAGATTCCACTTTTGGTTGCAATAAACTTTACTAAACCAAGGCTTCAAGAAGAACAGCTGTGAAAACAGCTGATATGAATCCTCTACTAATGCACCAAAACCATTTATCCCGTTTTAGGGGGGGGAAAGTCTTTACTTAACTCTCTTGAACCCAAATGACTAAATCCCCAAACCTATCCTCTGGTGTACAGCATCTCCTGGGTGGATCTTCAGCAAATTGAATAGCTAAAAGCCAAATTAAATAACCGGCTGTCTTTGCTGTTTCCCTCTTCCTGCTCTTATTAGCTTTGGCTTTATTATGGACATGCTTGCTGTTAACAGCTCTCCAAGAAATGCTGTCAGACTTGTGAGAAATTGCTTTGGACATATTGTTTATAGTCTTCATTCCTTATCTTGAATGTCTACTTCATTGAGTTAATGCAGCACTACAGCACACAGTGGCACTAAATTTAAAATATCTGATGTAAGTAGAATAAAATCCAGGAATTAGTCTGTGTTTATTGTAAATAAAGTAATATAGATTAAAAAAGCACATTGCCAAAAAATATAAATTGATTTCTGATAAACTGCTTTGACTCAAGCTTAAAGATAGGAATAGACAACCCTTGAAATGTCAGGATGTTTAAAACATTTTTACAGAGATCACCACTAGTTATGAACTATGTATTACATTTTACTAAGGCTTATGAAAGGAGCCATTACCTATGAAGGCAGAGCAGTTGACCCAAAAGGAAACTTACTGTATGCACACAAGGGAAAGTATAGCACCAAAGAACAATGCTGAATTTTCTAAAAATGATACAAAAGAAGTGCAAAATTAGATAAATTTTTGTTGAAAACCCCTTCTCTATTCTAAATTACACATTGCGAACTGAAATATTCAAAGGCATGCATTAGTTTCTAAAGAAAACACATACTGTATCTTATAAGATGTATTACCAGCACATTCATTATTACCATTCTGAAACAATAGATCTGAGGTTTAACCTTTGTATTTGCCATTTGTGTCTCTTCTGTCTGCACAGTCTAGACTTGAGCATAGTCTCTGGCTTGTGTGATATGCTTTAAATGATTCCTTGATCAGCCTTTGAGAATGGACAAAATGGAGTCCTGGGAAATCCTGTGTACTTATGATGGTATTTCATGACTTCATCATTTAACTCCTTCTTTATACAGTAATAGTCAGACATAAGGTCAGGGGTGTAAATGAAAAATTAAGTGGCCAGTGCTCAAGGCCAAAAATACGATTTTGGAGAGGGCAAGAAAAGCCTTTTTGAGCCAGTTCTTCTTTCACGTATGAAATGTTTGCCTGACAGAAAAGGAACATGGCTGTTTTCCCATGCTTAACAGTGGGCATTTGTAAGAGAATATGCTTTTAAGATTTGATGGATGAGTAGTAGGTCTAAATATGTTCTCCTTTGTCCTGATGTAGCCTAGTACTTCAGACCACGTTTTCTCATGATTTTCTTGGGAGAGATTG